TACCAGCGGTCAAGCGTCGACGTCGAAATAAAAGACACAAAATTACAGACACGCACGCGCACATGTCACATTTCGTCACGTCAAAACGAGAAAACAAAAAAATCACAAACATTAATAGAATGTATTAATCGAACGTAAATAACGCATGCACGCAGGCGCACACATTAACTGCACGCACTCGCGTGCATCTGTCTCAGCATCCCTCCTTCGTCAACACTCACTTGAACTCTTCCACGGTGTGACTGATCTCATTCGGTAAGCTGGTCTCCTTTACCGCCTTGTTCTCACTGAAATGTAAAGGCGACCGCACCGAACATTAAACGAGATGCCAGCGGGGAGGGGGGGGATGACGGACATTCAATACGCACAATCCAACATCGAGAGACAATCTCGTCAGCATCTCACCCACATAACAACATAAAGCAAACAAAATACATGCGTGAAACGGATGCTTGGATCGGATATATCCATCTATCTATATGGATCGCAGATCGACTGCCAGTAACTCATGTAGAATGAACAGGTTATTTACTGCCATTAACGTATAGAGTGAGTGATGAACGTGCAACAACACCAAGCAGCAGTAATATGTATCTTTACACAAAGCATACGGCCGCTGTGACCAATGCTTTATATATGAACATATATATGATATATGTATACACATATAACTGCCACTTCGTTTGCAAGTTGGATACGGTTACCAAATTACGATTATAAACTAACCCACACAAGTTTGCACGAACATAAGATAACATTACAAGGAAAACATATATAATAATAATAAATAATAATTAATAAAATAAATAATGAATAAAGATGAATCGCAGCTCACCTCTTGCCTGTGACGGCAGCTGACGCCTGCTCAGTGATGCCAACGCCACCTAGACCCTTCGCCGCCGCCATCGTCGAAGCCGCGGGAGCGAACGCGGACGCCGGAGCGGCGGCGCCACCTAGGCCGAATCCCATGCCGGTCGTCTTCGTCGCCGCGCCGATGCCGCCGAAGCTTCCGCCTGTGTCGCAAACAACAAGAGCATGCGATGAGAGAGCGGGACGCGCATTGATGCTACGCGCAGCCACCGACGGAAACTGCCTGCCGCAGTGGCCACTCAATGTTTTCACTCAAAATCGAATAAGGCAATGCTGGCCTTACCCCACCTCCTTCCCCTACCGAAAAGCTCGATTGAATAAATAATCAAAAGGTTCTAAATCGATCCCCGCAAGAGGAAACACCTCACCTGAGTCACCTCCCCTCTCCGCTTCTAGTAGAAAATCACCGAATGAGACAACACTCGCCTTACCACCCCCTCCTCCTCATCCCCCAATCCGAAAAGCTCGATCTAAACAAATTAAAAGATTCCAACAAGACCCCTGCAAGAAGAAACACCTCACCTGAGTCACCTCCCCTCTCCGCTTCTAGTAGAAAATCACCGAATGAGACAACATTCGCCTTACCACCCCCTCCTCCTCATCCCCCAATCCGAAAAGCTCGATCTAAACAAATTAAAAGATTCCAACAGGACCCCCGCAAGAAGAAACACCTCACCTGAGTCACCTCCCCTCTCTGCCTCTAGTAGAAAATCACCGAATGAAACAACACTTACCTTAACACCCCCATCCTGGAACCAAAAAGCTCAATCTAAACAAACTAAAAGATTCCAACAGGATCCACGCAAGAAGAAACACCTCCCCTCCCCTCCCCTTCCCTTCCCTCCCCTCCCCTCTCCCGCTAGGAAACCTACCTAGACCAGTGTTGAGGGTCGTTGTCGTCGTCGCTGCTCCGAGGCCGGTGAACCCAGTCGTCCCTCCCAACCCTCCGATCCCACCTCCCGCCGCCGCCATCGTCGTCGCTCCCTTCCCGAACATGCCGAGCGTCGACGCGCCCGTGGTGCCCCCTATGCCGCCGAATCCCGCGGCGGTGGTCGCCGGCGCAGTCATGTTGAATCCGGTGAGGGCGCCAGCTGCGGCGGTAGACGCCGGCGTGGCGTATCCGAACCCTGCAATCGCGAGCGAGACTGGTCAACGACAACGTCGCTGCTACGAAGGATCGCACGTGCGAAATCTTAACTTAAGATTCGTACTCACGGTCAGAATGCTAAACTTTAATACATGAACAACGCCATCCACACTTCTAACCAAGCGCTTCAATCCCCACGCCTGGACGAGCATATATGACAAACCTTTCTCCAGTAATAGGGACATCAACAACAGCATAAAATACACAATAACCAGGTTATAGTAATAGGTCGAATACTCTAATGATATCTCCAGTAATAGAGACATGTTATTAGGATTATTATATTGTTATATTATTATATGTTAGGATTTAACTTCATAGGACGTGACAGGGACGTTAAACGCTCTCGCAGTGACCACCCTCGGTCTCAGAATCGACTAGAGTCCCAGAGAAGACCCGGCCCGATCCAAGAACGAAGAGGAAGCAAACTCAATGTCGCTCACCTGCGGCGGGTGCCGCCGTAGCTGCCGTAGAGGGCGCCGGCGTTCCGAAGGAGAATCCCGTCGTGGCGGCGGTCGCGGGAGTCGCGAAGCTTATCGTCTTAGCGGCGCCTGCTGCTTCACGCGAAACGATCGAAAATAAACTTATTACGTTCGGAAACCGATGCTTCATGCAAGGGCACGATCACCGTTAGCTCTAGTACTACAGCCCTTGTTGCCACAGGAGTGTGGCAGTGTCTGTGGCAGTGACAGGCCTGTGGCAACAAGGGCTATAGTACTAGAGCTAGATCACCGTTAACTTCCCAGTGAAATAGCTAACGTTGAATTTGAGTAAATGGTGGCACTGCAACAATTGAGTAGTCGTGTTTCGAGCAATTTTCGTGCTAACGAACGTACGATGAAGTTTACAGTCGTTAGACTTCGGTTGAACTAGTCACGATGCCACGCGATATCACACCGATGTTTTCACTTGTCCTAGCTGTTAAATGTCGGGAGAAGCGCAAATCAAACGGAATACACTTTTGACTAATTATTACAGACAGAATTTAGTTGTCTATTTGCTGTGACCAAAGTATAAGTAGAAATTTTATCGCACGCAATCCACACCTATGGTAGGGCAATGGAACATGACTGGTTGACGGACACTTACTGCCACTGGCGACGCCACCAGCTGGTGTGCCATACATCATTGACAGACCGGTGGCTGGTGCACTGGCTGGAGTTGCCGTCAGGCTGGTCGCAGCCGCCTGGGTGCTGTGAAGAGAGGAAACACGTATACCCCAGTTACTATATCACTACGTTGAAATTTACGAATGCAATCTCAGTGTTGATATCTACAAATGAAAATTGACTTGGAAAATGCTACCTTCGTCACACAGCATGACTGCCATGAGCATGTTAGTTAGTTTCGACTTACGGTGCAAAGTAAACATAAACACTTTTAGTAAGTTTTACAAAGTCAATCATGTCACGGTTTATCAATACTAAATCTATTATAAACTATCATTATTATACGGTATGGTAAAGTATAGTAATAGTATGCAGCATGAGTGTACACTGATCCAGTGGCAGTGTGACTGACAGTGACAGCCACAGTGTACAGTGTACTGTGAGTGTGACTGGCAGTGGCACTGTGACTGTGTGCAAAATTATCATGCAAGATCACCGTTTTATGATACTGTGCTAGTATCAATCACTAAGTAAAAACCTTTGGGTTGGTGTTGCTCCAAAAAGGAACCCCGCCGACATGATGATATTGATATTTGATCTTTCCTGGTTATTTTATAAGTAAACGTATATTACGTATATTAACGGTTATTGTACCTAAAAATGCGGCACGCGAACGGTATCGCGCAATGAACTTTTTGAATAACAAGCGAGCATTCAACTCCAATAAAAAGCTGTACGCCGATTCTCTGCCAGTACTGGCAGTAGCTGAGTAGCTCATCGACAAACAGTCAACACTTCGCTTTACCTTTATTAAATTTACTTTTATGTAAAATGAAATAAAATCGATAAATCCAAAGTACGTTTACTTGTCATATAAGTTATTTATCCATGATCTACCACATTCGTTATTTATTTGGGAACCAAACTAAAAGGAATATTAAAGGTGACCGGTTTGCAGTAATAATTTTAACATCATGAATCAAGAGTTCAATGCTGTGACCGACCAATCAAGTGACCGATTACGACAAAACGACATGTCAGCGCCCAGTTCGTGTGCAATGTGAAAGGCTTGCTTCTACTTTTAGTTCTAATGAAAGTAAACAAAACTCGATCATCCATACGGCAGCGACAGGAGCTTATCCACCGAACAAACAAGTAACACTGGTTTACCAGAGAGAAAGAATCGGTGGTTGATAACGAAACACAGATAGTGAACGGTAATTTAAAAATAAAAACTGCAATTTCAAATTTTAACATCAATATTGACAATAATGCCAATATTGACAATAATATTAATAATACAATTAATGAATTATCACTATCAGGTTGACACTGACACAAGTAACCTAGTATAGCACATTTAAATAACACTTGCAATAACGCGATTAACTACCCATATTCTTCTGTGCCATTCTAGGTCTAAACTTGAGCTGAAACTCGCGATGTCACATTGAAGTTCGATCGCACGCTGAAAAATGGGCGACGCGGAACGGACGGAGTCCGGGCCGGGGCGGACGAACGGCGACTGCCTCTCCTCGTTCGCCGGCATCAGCGACGACGAGCTTCGCTCGCGGCTTTGCGAGGCCGGCATCAGCGCGGGACCCCTCACACCGTCCACCCGGCCGCTGCTCATCAGAAAACTCGCGCGACGTCTTGGGAACGGCGACGGCGGATATTCGCTCATCTCCTCTGGCGACGCCGCGGCGATCGACCAGCGGCACGACCCCGCGGCGGCGCGTCCGCGGGAGGACGCCCCCAGTGGTGCGGACGGCGTCGGGCGCGGTAATGGCGACGGCGTCACCAACGCGTCGTGTGCGCAGGAGAGCGATGCGGACGACTGCGTTTACTATGGGGTGTTTGTGCCGCCCGACCTGTACGATGCGTGCCAGCGTCCGGACGGTACGATGTTAGTTTTATCAGGGTATTTTTAAATTGAAATGCTAAATGTATGAACCGTCGTTTATTTGCGGTGTCATGGCGATTGCAGGTGACTATCGATTTGCACGCACATAAGTATGTTCTAAAAAATGGTTGCATAAATAAAGGAATGCATAAATCGAATGATAATAGTCGATCCTATGGGGGTTATAGGTTCTTAATATAACGTGTTAATTATGGAAAGTACTTCATACATTATTATAGTCAAAGAAAAGTAGCTGATCTTGTCTTAAAATCTTTCACTGCAGTGCTAGAATGCTTAACGAAATCGCATATATCATAATTTCTGAAGACGTTTATTCGATCACTAAATCAAATTCAATGTGTTGTTTAAAAACATTGGTAATAGTCTGTGGTTATAACTGCCGTGATTCTTTCCTTGTAGCTGTATTCACAGACAAGGCTGCTGCAATGAATTTTGCCAAATCGTTGAAAGGCTCGCGATTCAAACGATTTACATCGAGGCAGGATGCGCAAGCATTTTCCGAATTGGACGTCGAACTAAACCGGCCGGCAATGGAAACGGACAATGCGGAAGCAGGAGCAAGCGACCCTTCCGGAGGTAATTCACAATTTTATTCTCGCCACACGCGCTATCTAAAAGGCTTCGCTTTCTCGCCAGCGGTAACGGTAACTGCCTCGCGCGTTTTACGTGAGGAGTGCAGGTCTGGACAATCTCTGCGTGGCACAGATACACTGCCACTACACCCGCGTATGTAAAGGGGAGGCCTGGATTGTGTCTACGGGACACAGATCCACTGCCACCCACCCTCGTGTGTGTAGCTGAGGTCTGGACCGTGTCTACGGGACACAGATACACTGTCACCTACCCCCGTATGGGTTTGATGAGCTAGTCACTCGATGTCATTGAGCTATAAGTTTAGCGATGAACTCATGCTATCGTACCCCTGATGCCGCTCACACGCCTCTATACCCTGTCGTCGGCAGAGCCCGTGAGCTGCTTCAAGGGACCAAAGACGCAGGAGCTGACCGTTCTGCGTAAGGCCATCGAGCGAGGCGACGCCGACGCGTTCACCAGCCTCGTGTGGAGCAACCCCCGCTACCTCATCGGTCCCAGCGGCTACACCCCCGTCATCCTGCAGGTATGTCCCCCAAGCAGCGCCTCCTGGTGGCGTACAGCGCCCCCTGGTGGCGTACGGTGCTCCCTGGTGGTGTACGGTGCCCCCTGGTGGCGTACAGTGCCCCCCGGCGGTTGAGCAGATGTTGCACTTTGTTGCTCTTAAAGAGTTATGTTCGTAATTTTGACGGTGTTTATTCGATTCAGTCCAACAATAGTTTAAAATGATTTACCGATGTCTATACTCGTATCATTAAAAGCAGTATGTTGCATTTAGAAATCTATAAGTTGTAGAATAATCAATGTGAAGCAAAGAGAAATATGAAAAAAGAATTGAAGAACGAGGAAACCATAGAAATATTACATTTGGTATTAAACGAATTGACTGAGCAAGTCGATCGGTCTCACATCGGAAAAACATCTGGAACCCCAGTGCAAAAGTTCCCGCAACTTGCTCTCGTCTCATCTCACCATGAATGCTTTCATCCTCTTCCTCCTCCTTTTCCCTCCTCCTCCTCCAACGCCACCACCGACCAGGAGGGCTTCAGGTACAACGCGCTGCACGTGGCGGCGAAGGCGCAGCAGCCGGCGATGGCTCGGCTCATCGTTGACACGATCGAGGACGCGCGACTTTACCGGCTGCTCTACGACGACGACGACGACGACAGGGGGACGGACGACGTGACGGCGCGTCGCATGAACCTCCTCGTCGACCTCTACCTGAACATGCCGGACAAACCTGACAAAGGCGTGAGTGTCGCCGCGCAACGCAGATGGGACGCGGATGTAGTAGGGGTGGGACTGAGCGAGAAAATACGTAAACGGCTTGGCTGTAGCGGAGGGGGTCTCCTGAACACGCCCGACAAAAGGCGTGAGTGTCACCCTATAATAAAGCCACCTTAACTTTCAGCATTGACAGGTGTGCCATATCTTCAAATGTATGCATTTTTTTTACTTGAATAATGACACCATTAGATGCTGCATGTCGACAAACATGAGAAGACACTTTATTTGTGTTTTTATGTTAAATATGATGGATATAAATGGGATTTTCGATTAGTCACTAATTTGGCAGTGCTAGTCCGTGTTGCGTTCCATCCCCATCAACCCTCGATGAACTCGCACCATCTGTGGGATTTACATAGATTTACATATCTCTGTTGCAGTTCTGTGAGACGCCGCTGCACTTTGCTTGTAAGTTTGGTGCCAAGGAGATCGTGGAGATCCTTGCGAGTCATCCAGCGACCGACCGCGGGCTGAGGAACAAGTTCAATCAGACGCCAGCAGATGTGAGCTGTTAGCGTCGCAATACGACGCAGTGTTCTCTTCCTACTGCGTACCTGATCGACCAATAGCAGGGTCGCAGATTTTACGGTTTATCGTTCCGTGTAACCCGATCGAATAATTTCATGGTCGCAGGTTTTACGGTTTGTTATTCGTGTCGATGTTAAAGTTAACGTAATGAAGAAGGAAAATGTTTGAATGTTTTGTGTTTCAATTTCTTTGTTCAATGTTCACCTCTGTCGTGATAATGTTCGTTGTTATGTCATATATTGCCCTACAGATGGCGGTAGTGAGTATTATCTGTTTTGGACCAAATTTTTGTCTTGTCACGTGAAACGTCAGTCTCACCACAGAGTTGAAAATCTGTGATTTAATCCTAACCTAAAGCCTCATACTCTAATTGCCACGAGATCTGTTTGGTAAGATTTATAATACATGATTATACGTGACTTATATGTTATAAAGATAGGAATGAACATTTTTTTGCCACTTATTGTAATCCTTATGTGCTTGTTCTGAGTTGAGTGATTGTTGTATTTCAGATTATCTGCCAGCGGGTTTCCAACCCATCGTCAGCGCTGGTGAACGAGATCATGGAGTGTTTACAAGGTACGGCATCCGATGTCATCAAAGTAACTATTGAGCAGTGCTACAGTCGACAGTGTTCCTCTTTTTTACTACTTTAAACGTTCTTTATTTATAGAAAACTATCTAAAAGCTAATGCATAAGCTTTTAACACAGTAGCATGAAAAACGTACGGTAATATTTCAATTACATAACTGAATCGAATAGTTGCAGCAAATGCACAACAAAGCAAGCAAGCACATTCATAAATAATACCAGATCTTATCTCACATGGATAAGGTTGCAGGTTTGCTAAAATATGTCACATAATTTTAAAAACAACTAAAAGTAATATTTGGGTGAAGGAAACACATTAGTGGGGGTATACTAGGGTAGCATAGGGAGAAGGAAGCACACCAGGGGAACACATGGAGAAGGAAGCACACCAGGGGAACATAGGGAGAAGGAAGCAGACTAGGGGAACATAGGGAGAAGGAAGCAGACTAGGGGAATATAGGGAGAAGGAAGCAGACTAGGGGAACATAGGGAGAAGGAAGCAGACTAGGGGAACATAAGGAGAAGGAAGCAGACTAGGGGAACATAGGGAGAAGGAAGCAGACCTTGGGAACATTGGGAGAAGGAAGCAGACTCATCAGGGGAACACATGGCAGAAGGAACACAATCGCCCCGGGAACATAGGGCGAGAAGGGAGAGCAGACTAGGGGAATCATCCAGGGAGAAGGAAGCTATCATCAGGGAAAACATAGGAGAAGAGATAGCGGCAGGACTAGGGAACAACTAGGAGAAGGAAGCAGCCTTGGGAATATAGGGAGAAGGAAGTCACACCAGGGGAACTATAGGGAGAAAGGAAGGGCACATCAGCGGAACATAGGGAGAATAGGAAGCACATCGAGGGGAACCAATAGCGCGAGAAGGAAGGGCAGACTAAAGGGAACACCTAGGGAGATAGAGCAGCACCTAATGAATATAGGGAAGAAAGGAAGCATACCAGGGGAACAAGGGAGAAAAAGGAAGCACAATCCAGGATGCGAACATAAGAGAATGAAGCAGACTAGGGAACAATAAGGAGATAAAAGACAGCCACACCAGGGGAATCATAGGGAGAAGAAGCAGACTAGGCCGGGAGACATGGGAGACCAGGAAGCAGGACTAGTGGAGACCCCATAAGGGGAGATACAGGCAAGGCAGACAGGGAACAAAGGGAGAACGGAGAAAGGCAATCTAGGAACATAGGGAGAAGGAAGCAGACCTGGAGAGACTATGGAGAAGGAAGCACACAAGGGGGAAACGACACAATGGAGCATGGAAGCAACACCAGGGCGAACATAGGGAGAAGGAACAGACTAGTGGGAAACATGGAGAAGGAAGCACATCAGGGGAAATAGGAGAAGGAAGCACACAGGGGAACATAGGGAGATAGGAAGCACACCAGGGGAACACATGAGAAGGAAAGCACATTCAGGGGAACATAGGCGAGAAGGAAGCAGACTAAGGGGAATATAGGAGAAGGAAGCAGACTATGGGAACATAGGGAGAAGGAAGGCAGACTAGGGGAAACATCAGGGAGAAGGAAGCAGACCTTGGGAATATAGGGAGAACAGGAAGCAGACTAGGAAATATACTGTGGAGAAGGAAGGTCAGACTAGGTGGAAGCATAGGGAGAAGGAAGCAGACTAGGGGAACGATAGGGTTGAGATACGAGGAAGCAGAACTAGGAAGCGAACTATAGGGAGATGGAGCAGAACTAGGGAACATAGAGAGAGGAAGCAGACTAGGGAATATTAGGGAGAAAGAAGCACGCCTAACAGAGTGCACCATTAGGGTGCCACAGATAAAAAAAGCACAGCTTTTGCATGACAAGAGCACACCCTTAAAACGTGTCTGAATGCGCATGTATGTTATCTATAGACAAGATATAACGAGTCCGTCTGCCGGTCGGGGACGACACACGAGAAGTTCTTCTGGCCGATGCATAGACAGCGAGCCGTGGTCGCTCCGGCGCGAGAAGTGTCGACCTAACCCTCGGCAAGACGAACGCCCGTCACCACCCGACGTCGGCTGCTGGACCACAGGCAGACGACAGTCGCAGACAGCGGCAGCGAGGCACCAATCTACTCACTAGGCGATGCGGAGCGTAGAGCAGAGTTGAAGCGGTGCCGGAGGAAGCCCGATGTCCGCATTATATAACACGAAGGTGCGCTGATTTCGCGGAAAAGATTTCGATTCGAAAGTTTGCCATGTATATTCGTATTATTTTAGCGCAGATGTTTATCGTAATGTTCCATTCCGGAGTTGGGTTTTTAGATTTATATTTTAAGTTCTTTTTTTAAGATGAGAATGCGTTGCAGGCAGAAGAGTTCCTCGCAACCAGTAGAGTACGTGAAGAGTTCACCGCACGTTCTCAGTAGTCGCGACTCGTAGCCTTAATAGGGACAGTGCGAGAAATCTACGGGTCGCGCCGCAGCAACGGAGACAAGGGTCTGGATCGAATCCGGCAGGTGACAGTCAGTTGGCCTAGTGTCGCTGTTGAATCCGTTGTGCTGCATTTGAAACAAGGATAAATCTTTTTCTGAGCGTTGATGTGATTTGATTTCGCGTGAGGTGCAAAGTCGGGTGACGTTACGGAACTTGTAGTAAATAATCGTATTAGAATAGTAGATTAATTAATATACGGGAAGAAAGGTATCTACTATGCTATCCAGAGATTAAAAGAGTTAACGGGTTAATATTACGTAAGTTCTTCCTACCGTAGAATACAGAAAAGTTGAAAAGAGCGCGAGAGCGATGTTGTTCGAGGACGCATTTCGTTTATGCTGCTTCAGCACGAACGGACGATATAAGAGGAGCGCCCTACGCTGCTGTGAGGCGGCGTCACATCCGAGAATGGGCCGTGCCGGGGAGCGAGGTAGAAGCTAGAGGAGGCGGCGTCGACGTGAGCGACGTACAAGGCATGACCTCTCTAGCGGCAAGGCCAGGCCTAGCCAAGCTCGAGCAGTTCTACGGAGAGCGCTTCGGACGAGGTGAGATTAAATTTCAAAGATACTGAGATTTACTACAATACAACTATTAGTGCTGAGATTAATTGCTAATTAATTAATTTTAGATTACAGAGAGTACTAAGAGATAGAGAGTACTGATCTCGAGTGTAGCTAGACTGATGGTGGTTGCCGATCCACCGAACGGTCGGTGCAAAGAGAAGTCACCTGCGCCACTGTCTGCCATCTTGAAACCCACTTTGAAAGTTTTGACTATTTGGCGTGTGCCACATACACAGTTTCGCCGGCACTGCATAGCTTGGCAGCGAAAAAAAGTTGGAACTTTCTGTTTCAAATACGCGTTTAAAACTTTTTAATACGACGGTTTTTTCTGCAATTTTATTGTGGAAAAAACTCTATGTATCCCTCGTTGTAACTCGTTACACAAAAAAGTTGTACAAAAAAGAATACGTGTATTGGACATTTATTATGTTTAAAATGAGTGTAGTTTATAGAACGCACTACTGTAGAAAGAACCGTGTCTATGAAAGGGGAAAATTTTTGTATAGCGCGCTACAGGGCAGTTACACAGTAAACCCACCAATCAGTGAGAGAGAGAGAACAACGACAGTGTCTAATAAAGAGCCAGTACCCGTAATCCCTGGGTGACCTTATACGTAATAACTTATAGACGCTTTATACTTCCCTCGTGGGTACAGCCATGATTAAACGATTTCTCGCAATGCTAACAGGTGGCTTAGCGGCTGAGAGTTAGGAGAGAGAAGGAGCAGGAGGAGGAGCAGTGTGGGCAGAAGCCTGCCGAATTTCAACAGCAAGTGGAGTCACCGACGATGCGAGGAACTTGGCCAGGCACGTTGATACGTTGTCGCTGGAATTCTCCGTGAGGCAGAGGGTGAGGCTGTTAACTCCAATACTGCTGTGACGGCTAGCTATTGATGATATATATAGTAATAGTATATATATTATGATATAATATATAGATAGTTAATATAATATATATATTATATATATAATATATAACTGTCTGTAGTATGTATAGAATTCTATGTGCTGCGAGGCAAATAAAATATTGGTAATATGTAAATTAAGTTGTATCCATATAGATATTTAAGCCCTGATTCGCCAGTTGGATTTCTATCAACAGATCTAGCTAACTCTAAAATCTAATATCCTAACATAGATTTTACCTAACCCCTGAACCACTTAACGCTTGACCAATGAACCATAACCATTAACCCTAAACCATTAAGCCACTACGCCCTAACACCCTACTCCTAACCCCCACCCCTAACCTTAACTCCGAAACCCAACCCCAACTGTAACATTCTTGCATCGTGTCACGCTCATGACTCACCGTCTGTGATAATAGTCGATTCGTGTTTCCGCAATGCACCGCCAGGCGGCCACGAAGCGGAATGTCCCGGCCGGGTGCGACAGCCGAGTCCCGTCGCAAACTCGACCTTCCGTCGTCGTCGGCGGCCGTCTACGATAGAGCGCCCTCTTAGCAGGCGACGATGAGTCGGACGTGTAACGTGACAGCCGCCGGCAGTCTCCAGCGCAGCGCCGGGGAGTCGCGCTGCCCGCCGCCACAGTGCCCCAAGCGCCGCCGAAAAGGACATTGCAAACGCGTACATCGGCGGGTTGAGTCCCACGCAGCGTGAGCAGTAACTCGCTGTGGTGTGTGTAGTAAAAACCTGCCGTACAGCGCACTGTGTGTGTAGTGTGCGTGGTGCGTGTGCGTGTTGCGGTATGTGTGTACATGGATGCGTGCGCCGTGCGTGTATGCGTGTATGTTGTTATGGCATGCATGTGCGTGCGCGTGCGTGATAGTTGAGCAAGTGGGCGTCATCGGATGTCGTGCAATGGCGCGGATCGTTATGATACCATGTTGCCGTGGTTACTGTTGCGTCAGCGGTCATTGTGATGCGCGTTTGGTTGCAAATTACGCGTTACATCCGAGGGTCCTGCGATACTCAGTTACGTCTTTTATTGTGTTACCGGTTGCCGTGGTTACCATTCTGCATCCCCGGTCAACGTTGTCTGCTACTCTGCTGCAGGTCTGAGCAGAAGCAAGGTCGACGTTGGACGTGATGAGGGCACTGGAGGACGTTGAGGTCGATCTCCACCCGCTTCTACGCCCGCACACTCAACCGCCCAGGTGGCGCCGGCTAGTCATGGAGCAGTTTCCCGAGAGGCGCCTGCCCGCGAGGAGAGCGTGAGCGAGCGTCGTCATTGTCCGTTGGTCTACTCGCGCGAAAATCGTCGCAAATGTGTCGCCGATTCAAAAACGTTTTCCTGACGCTCCGGTTGTGTTTTCAACTGACGGTTCTGTGGTGTTCCCCCACCCCACCGCCATTGGGGAGCCACAGTGCCTGGAAACGCACTTTTTCGTGGATTGTAACTGGCTTCATAAGTAGAAATCGAACATTTACGAAATGCGCTGAACCGACTGGGTATTATGCGTGTTCTCGACACGTACTCGTGTCTCGTCGAAGTCTGGATCTCCTAGCTGACTCGCTCTTCATCGAACCGATGCTTTCACGGCATCGTCCGTACCCCCAAGGTGGAGCGCAGTCCACGCGCGCCCGAGGTATCGCCACCGACTACCAACTCTCACCCGCGCAGCTCTCTCGCGACGCCGCCGCGCCGCGGGACGATCGCCCGTGATGGCACGACCACGTCCTCGCGGCGATCGGCGGGTTGCGACACGGACGCCGCCGGCCGCTCGACCTCGCCCGGTGTCGCTCGACGACAGGTGGCAGCACCAAACCCGTGCCGGTGAACTTGTTCACGATCGAAGTTTCAAGACGCGGCGGAATTCTCTCGCGGCGGGGGATGGGCGGGCAGGTCGGATTCCCGGACGGCGCGCTTGGTGCTGTGATTATCCGAGGTTGGTAATAATTTTCTAATGTTTATCGTTCGGTGAATTCGTGCTCATCTTATATGTATATATTAATTATTAATTGTTTGCTCGGACGTGCCTGTATGCCCGTTTTATTTATTTGCAGCTTTCCGCCGTGTCAATGTGCAGCCGATTGGCGATGGATCTGTCTTCGGTGTGTATAGTGCAGATGTTAGTTAGTCGACGCGATAGCGGATAGCGCTCGCCACGATGGCAGGACTTGGCTTATAGTTTGCAACGTTGCTAACGCATTTGTTTTGAGAGGCCTCGTTGGTTGAAAATGTTTCGATAGTCTTGATATCCCATCGTCTTGCTTCTCTTCCTCCTCCTCCTCCTCCTCCTCCTCCCCTCCTCCTCCTCCTCTCCCCCTCTCATCTCTCGATCCCTATTTATCGTTTCTCCTCTTCCTTCCCCTTCTCTCTGTTTTCAGCTCTTTTGCTCCCTCTCTCTCCCCTCTCTCTACTCCTCAGTCTCTCATCCTTCATGCTCTCTCTTCTCTTCCTCTCGCCCTCCTCTCTCTCTCGCTCCCTCTAATTCTCCCTCCCTCTCTCTCTCCTCTGCCCCCTCTTTCTTCTGCGCCTCCCGCTACTTCTCCTGTACGCTTCGTCCTTTTTCTTTCTGCGGCAACAACGCCTAATGCTGTGTTATTGTTGTGTCAGCGTTCTTCAAAGCTTGGTGCTTAGTAGAGTAGATGCACGTAGTAAAGCGTGTTTAGTAAACGTGTTTTAGTAGACGTATGTAGACGTGTTTAGTAGATGTTTTAGGACCAGTCTAAAATTAGGCGTGTTTCCCCACTGAGACGTGTGTGATTAGGCGTGTTTGTGAAACCAGTGGTTAGTAGAGTGTTAGGTAATCGTGTTTTAATGAACGCGTTTAGTAGAATGTTTATTAGACGATGTTAGTAGACGTGTTTTGAATGAACGCGTTTAGTAGATTGTTTCGTAAGACGTTGTGTTAATGAACGTGTTTAGCTAGACGTGTTTAGTAAATGTGTTTAGTAACATGTTATGAAGACGTGTTTAAGGCAGACATGGGTTATAACGTGGTTTTTAGAGTGTCATGATAGATGATGTGTTGTTTTCGTTTTTAGACGTGTTTTATGTATGATCGCTGTTTATGAAGACGTGTTAGTAAATGTGTTTAGTATATATGTTCATGAAGATGTTAGCAGACCGTGGTGTGTGAGACGTGTTTAGCAAGAGACGTGGTGTGTAGGACGTGTAGTATTGTGTATTTAAGTTAGTAGAGGCAAGTCGGGAGAGCCATTGTTTTATCCTCGACGTCACTTACATGCGCTTATGACCATTGCGGGGCGCAATGGTTCTTACCCTAAGATATCATATATATACGTGTATATATTATATGATATCTGCGGTCTTCTCAGCCAGAGCTTATAAACCCCAGATTCTTGTTGTCTACGTCTCCTGCGAGCTCGTGGCACCATTCTATGTGCCTTTCTTGGTCTGTTCTTGCTCTCTAACCTTAATGTAGTAAGGCCGGAATGAGACGCTGGCAATAATTTGTAATTACCGGTCGTTATTGTCCGGTTAATTGTGATGCAGGTTAGCATCTGGTCTCTTTGTCCTCTGTATTGAAAGTTTGATAAACTGGCTGCTGGCGCTTGGCTGTTTACTGAAGAATTGCCCTAATCAGCAGAGCAGTAATCGTAATCAAGAGTAAATAATAATCTAATATTAATATGAGAATAAGTGATAGGTAATGATGTTTTATCTTACAACTGATCGTATGAGAGTCGAAGGGTATTGGAATACAAATCGTGGTGGGAAAGTGAAAGAATTACGTGGATGCATCATCGCGGAAAGAGGGTGAAGGCATGGGAATGAAATGTCAGGAAACATGTTCTATGGCAAAGGGTTGAAATTGTAAAGCGGTAGGCATTAGAGAGAGCGGGGGCAGGAAGAGGTAGAAGACTCGTTGGTAATGAAAGAATTCGCGTTTCATATCAGCAAGTGTTGATGGGGCAGAAAACCGTCAGCCGGAAGTGGCCTAACCGATGACTCGTACAGGTGATAGTCACTTACGCTAATGTTTGTTAGAATACGCCGTACAAGTGCTAAAGATTTCTTCCTGCTCAGTTTTCTAAACCGTCCAATTCGGACTATAGCTACTAAGTACGTGAAAATAAGATAAGATAATATAATATAATTATATATACTATTATAGTATAGATACAACAATATTAT